TCCTTTAACAATTTTGCTCCCTAACTTTAATTTCTTGGACTTTATAGCCAGCCATGGTGGTTTGGGTTCATTTTCAAATTACAAAATATATAGCAAATGAAGGATTTGAGATCATTCCTGGCAAGTATAAATTCTGCATTTTAAAACTTTGTTATTGATCTTTTATGTCAGACTATCAAGGATAAGATTCTTTTGTTAAATGTAAATAGTTTTTCAATTTTCCAATGTTTTATTTGGTGAAGACAAAAGATTTTTCTGCCCCCCACCTTTTTAAAAAGGATTCTTCCCTCCCCCATTTTTTGTAAAATAAACCTGGAAGAAAAAGCCTCATAAATGTATGGCTGAAAGATCTATAAGAAATAGATACTTGTGCTACCTTGTACTACCAGCCAGACCTTTATCACCCCTTCCAGGAAGACCTTTATGTGCCTCGCCCCAAACACAGCTTTCCCTCCTCTGAGGCTTTTCTAGTCAACACTCTTGCTTTTCAAATGGTTTTATCACCTAAATATGGATCTGTAGGCACTATGCTTTTGAACTCTGTGGCACAGTGGGCTAAGCATTGCACTATTAACTGAAAGGTGGGTAGCTTGAATTCATCAGCCACTCTGCTACCATCTGTTTTCTCCCATATATTTTATAACAAATACAACGAAATAGTGTATGGGCAATACCTCTTTCCTCCCTCATTTTCTCCATCATTATGCTTAATTGATATATACTGTTCTATTGACTAGGAGGGATGGATGCCTACTTAGTTCTCAGTATGTTCTAGAGACTGCTGAGGGCCGTATGTATATTTCACTTACTCCTAAGGACACCTCTCTGAACTGTACATACTGTTATCTTCCCTTACAGGTTTAGAAAATTAAGCACAGATTTGTTAAACATCGTTGTCTGAATGAGGTCATTCAAGAGCTAGCATTTGTTTTCAAAACAAATCTGATGATACTAAGTCCATGATCTTTCTACCAGGCTGTACAGTGTATAAGGAAGATATACATCTTTCTTTATGGACTTTTTTTCTTCTGGCTTTGTTGGTTAGTTGGTTCATTTTATCTATCTCTATATTAATCAGTCATCTATCCATTTCTCTATTACCGTAATTATCTTTTTAAGACCCAGAACTAAAGGTTTTTCCTTGTTTAATATTCTTCAGCGTTTTCAAATATAAACTCCAAACTCTTTAGTATGAAATAAAAGACAATTACCCATTTATCTTCTGGTTCTACTCTGTTTCTTTAATACTGAATTACTGGAGATTTGTCTTTGTTGAATAACCTTTTTTGTTTTTCTCCTGCTGAGCTCCTTTCCATCCTGTAAGGCTCTGTTTAAAGTTACTTCCTGGGCAGGGTCAGAGCCAAGCTGTTTTCCTGGGATACAGTTCATGAAATAACTACATACTAATATATAATGATTGTCTATCTTTGTAAGTTCACTTTCATGTTTTTTGTTGTTAGTAGTTTGTTTTTAACAGTTTCCCTGACATACAATTTACGTATCATACATTTCAGTAGTTTAACCACATTCGGAAGAGTTGTACAACCTTTACCACAATCATTTCCAGGACGTTTTTTCTTCCTTGTACTCGCTGTTAGCACCCCACTTCCCACCAGTCTCCCCACAGGTCCCTTGTTATGGTCTCTATACGTTTACTAATCTGGGTTTCATATACAGAAAAACATACAAAATCAAGACAAAATACAATCGGCCTAGCAACAATGACAGAATGAAACAGAAAAACCTAAATTGAAACAGCAGAAAATACTAAAAACTGGAGCAACTATATATTGGATCAAGAGGGAGATCAGTGAAAACGTGTCACATTTTGACTTAACTTCGATCGCAGTAATCCACCCTACAATGTACTCTCTCTGATAGCAAGGCCTTTCTCATCTCTGGCCTATGGTCAGAAGGGATTTAGGAAAGGCTTATCCTCATGGGAGGCCCTACAAATGGGTTTTGGGCTTTTACTGTCATTCACAGCCACGAGCAAACTGGGTGTTCAGAATTTAAGCTCTAATATCACCCCCTGTTCTGAATTTGGATTTTATTACTTACAATTCTCCAGTCACACAGGCTGCTGTGCTTCTTCCATGTGGACATAGCCACCGTCTCACTTACATGGCTGCTTGTTTAAGACCCCAACCGTTACTCTTTTTAATGTTTTGATGATTTTTGCTTTTTCTGTAGACCTTGAATTATAGGCACTCAGTATAATACAAATAAAAATCTTAAAACTATGCTTGCGCTTCACTTGTTTTTATTTCCTATCTGTCTTAGAATATTGTTTAATTCACCTGTTTAACAGCTGTTTAATTCAATGGTTTACATATGTTCAGCAGCTCTGTGTGTAGATCTATGTGGTGCTTCTGATGAGTATGTACATGAGCTTTTCTGCCAGCGGAGTAACAAAGCATGTCTGTGATTGCTGTCTGTGCCTTCTATCTTACCTCGTGTGAACAGCAGCAACAGCTGTTGCTGTAACTTGTGTAACTTCTTTTACTGGAGTAGTTACTTTTTAATTTTTATCATTGGTATGTATGAAAACTTTTAGCGTTCCCTGTTGTAATATTTGACCCGTTTTCTCAACTTTTTAAAATAGTTATATTGACATATAATTCACAGATCATACAATTCAATCATATTTTTAAAAGTTGTGCATTCATTACTATAATCAATTTAAGAACATTTTTTTTCTCCATATACTCGTTGTTAGCTCCCTGTTTCCCCCTACCTTCCCTGCAATGCCCCTAGGACACTATTAATCTAGTTACTGCCTCTATAGACTTACCTATCCTGAATTTCATATACAGAAAAACACAAAACAAACACAAAAACAAAACCAACAATGACAAAATAAAACAGAAAAACCTGATTCAAAAAGAAAGAAGATCTTAGAAATTAGAACCAATTGAAAATGAGTCCAAAGGGAGATCAAATGATAGAAGAGGTGTTACATTTTAACCTGACTGCATCCATAGTAATCTACTTGCCAGTGGAAGCTATGGGCTAGCAAAGCTATTCACATCTTGGTCCATGCACAGAGGGAATTCTCCGAGACTCAATCCACATGGGCAGCCTTTCTCTACTTTGGTGTTTGCTAGTGCTCATGACCTTACTTTGCATTTCTTATTTATTTATTTATTTATTTATTTTCTCATTTGTTTCCTGTATACAGTGAACCCTCGTTTATCGCGGTTAATCGGTTCTAGACCCTACCGTGATAAATGAAATTCCGCGAAGTAGGATTCCTTATTTGTAAATCAAATATTTTCGTAGTTAGAGCATAGAGGACATGAAAAAACACCCTTTAGTCACCATTACACTCGTATTATCCAATTTATTAAGCGAAAAAGGGAAAATACAGTAAAACATTTTGGACGTTACAATTATCATTTATTATTTATTATATTATTTACAGCATCAAGCGTGTACAGTATGAGCCAAGAGCATGCGCTGTTACGCAAAAACCGCGATAGAGTGAAGCCGCAGAAGTCGAAGCGCGAAGTGGCGAGGGTTCACTGTACTCTCTTGCTAAAGATGTGCCATTATACGTTTTCCCCCTAACTTTGTGTTGGTATTGTGACTGAGAGTGTTTCGTGATGAAATTTTTCTGTACTAATATGATACCCAATGAAAACTTCATAATCTTCACTTGGTGGGTGAATTTCATGAGCACTTGAATACTTAGAGATTTTATTTTTCTGGGAAAAGAATTCTTAGCTTTTATCAGATTCTGAAAGTAGTCTGATACTGAAAAAATTATGTTAGTTGGAAAGTTAGCTATGACAGCATATAATGCTTATAAATACAATTTTAATATATTTATTTGGCAATATATTGAAGTAGTGGATGGACTTTGGGCCTCTGCCCAAGCCCTCCCTCAATGCAGAACACTTTGTTCTAACAGCCTGGTATTCTGTGATGCTCACCCTCCTGACATGCTGAAGACAAAAGGGGTGCATAAGTAAATGATGAAGCTGAAGACAAAAGGGGTGCATAAGCAAATGTGCATAAGCAAATGTGATGGTACCTGGCTATCAAAAAGATAAAGCATCTGGGGTCTTAAAGACTTGAAGTTAAACAAGTGGCCATCTAGCAGAGAAGCAACAGCCCACATTGAAGAAGCACACCAGCCTGTGTAATCATGAAGTGCCGACGGAATCAGGTAACAGGCACCAGAAGACCCCAAACTAAACAAAAAAATTGTTGAGAACGAGGGGGTTGGAGCAGAGACTCAAAGCCCATCTGTGGACAATAGGACATCCACTCACAGAAGGGTCACAAGAAAGGGTCAACCAGGGTGCAGTATAGCACCGATGAAACACACAACATTCTTCTGTTTCTTTGAGAATTCCTTAACCCCACTATCATGACCCCAGTCCTACCTTACAGTTCTGGCTAGACGAGCATGAACACTGGTACAGATAAGAGTTCACAATACATGGAACCCAAATAAGATAAACCCCTCAGAAACAGAAATGGGAGTAGTGATACTAGGGTGTAGTGGGATATGCGGGGAGGATGGGTGTTAGGGGTGGACTATGAACAACAGAAACATGGGTGAAGGGAGACAATGGTTGGTATAAGATAGGAAAACAATATATGTAAGTTACCAAGGGGTCATGAGTTTGGGGAAGGGAGGAGAGGGGGAAAAAAGAGACACTGATACTAAGGGCTCAAAGAGCAAGTAAATGTTTAGAAAATGATGATAGCAACATATATACAAATATACTTGATACAATCGATGTGTGGCTTGTTATAAGAGCTGTAAGAGTCCCCAATAAAATGATTTAAAGAAAATAAATATAATCATAATATCAGTTGAATATTGCAGTCATAATAAAACTTCAGTGTTTTAATGTTCTGTTGTGCTAATTAAATTGACTTTCTATTTTTGGCAGTTTTAGGATAACATATATATTAGTTGGCATTGATTTCCTTTTCAGTTGTTTGACATTGGTCAGAGATGTAACTCACTAATTTTGTTTCACCAGAAATGCGAGATAAAATGAGAAAATGGAGAGAAGAAAATTCCCGAAATAGTGAACAAATTGTAGAAGTTGGAGAAGAGTTAATTAATGAATATGCCTCTAAGCTTGGAGATGACAGTAAGTGCTTTATTCTGTTCAGAAGCAGCACCTGTCCCATGTACGGTTCTTCTTGGTAGGTGCCATGTAGTTGATTCTGACTTCTAGTGACCCGATGTCAAACAGAATTAAACCCTGCATGTTCCTCCTGTTGTTGTAGCTACAGTGTCAGTCCATCTCACTGAAGACCCTCTTCATTCACTGCCCCTCTGCTCCCCCAGCATGATGTCCTTCTCCAGGCACTGGTCTCTCCCGACAACGTGTCCAAAGGATGTAGTTTGAAATCTGGCCCAACTTGCTTCTAGGAAGCATTCTGGTTTTACCTCTTCCAATTACCATGTATACTCGTGTATACGCTGAGTTTCAGCACATTTTTTATGCAGTTTTTGTGGTAAAAGGAGGTTCCTCGGCAGATATTCTGGTTGGCTTATACTCGAGTATATATGGTATTTGTTCTGGCACTCTGGGGACTTTAACTATTCGTTGCCAACATCATAATTCAGATACATCAGTTCTTCTGCAGTCCAGCTTCCATAAGCTTATGAAGTGATGGAAAATGCCATGGCTTGGTGCAGGCACACCTTAGTTCTTAAGGCGACATCTTTGCTCCTTTTTACGCTAAAGAGGCCTTTGAAGCAGTTTCGCTATAACGCCCTTTGGTTTCCTGAGTGCTCCTTCCATGACTGTTGAGGTTGTGGATCCCAGTAAAATGAAATCCATGGCAATGCTAGTATTTTCTCCATTCATCATGGTATCCATTCCCTTTAAGTTAGTTTATTTCTAAGGTATGGTTGTATGCTGATTCATAAAGATTTTCCAATATTCATATCACTTCCTCTCTCTGAGAATTTAATGGTACTATATTTTGTGAAGGATTTATAATTGCTGGCAGTAAGAAAGCTATCAAGGCTAGGTTTTTATTTAATGCTTACAGGACCACAGGTATGGTTGGCCAAAATGTAATGAAGACTCTTACGAAGAACAAAGCTGTCAAATCATTTTGAAGTTTTACTTCATACTGTATTAAAATATTTTGAAAGGTTGAATGCGCGTAAAACCAACAACCAAACTTGTTACCACTTAGTATATTACAATTCATAGTGACCCTGTAGGACAGAGTAGAACTGCCTTTTTGTAGTTTGTACGGGCTTTGTAAGCCTTGCTGGGAGTAGTTTGCTACATCTGTCTCCTGGGAAATGGTTGGTGATTTTGAATAGCCTGCCATTTGGTGGGCAATCTAGTGTTTAACCACTGAACAACTAGGATGTTAAATTTTCTTAATCCTAGAAATAATTTAGTAATCCAGTTTCCAATTATAAGTAATGTTCTCTACTATATGAGTGAATAAGGACAATTTGCCAATATTTCTGTTTTAGGGATTTTTTCCCCTTAAATTCTGTTTATTTCCCTCTTTTTGTCTAGTTTGGATCATATATGAACAAGTGATGATTGCGGCCCTCGATTATGGTCGGGATGACTTGGCATTGGTAGGTATTTAAA